CTTCCCAGTGAGGGTGGTGAGGCACTGGAACAGGTTGCCCAGAGAAGTTGTGGGTGCCCCATCCCTGGAAGTGTTGAAGGCCAGGTTGGCTGGGGCTTTGAGCAACCTGATCTGGTGGAAGGTGGGGATGGGCAGGGATTTGGAACAAAACAATCTATAAGGTCCCTTCCAACCCAAACCATTCTGTGATTCTATGATTAGGCGTCTCATATTGAGCCATGATTTGTAGCCATATAAGTTTTTCCCTGGTGATGGAAAAGTCGCTTTGCCTGCCACTGAATGTCTTTTTTTCTTTTACAGCATTTTGTTTGTGCCAAATGTGAGAAACCATTCTTGGGTCACCGACATTATGAGAAAAAAGGACTGGCTTATTGTGAAACTCACTATAACCAGGTAAATTCTGCCATCTATACTGCTCTGACTGGCAAATGCTTTTGCATGCATCTTACATCTGCAAAGCTATGCAGATTTTGCAGAATCTGAATTTGTAGAAGCAATGCAATCTTAAGATATCAGTGAGATTTAACAGAAAAATAGTTTTTCTTGGTAGATGTGAAAAGTGATGCTGAGAACAGAATAGAAATGTCTTGGGGATATTGATTTTTCTTTGTGCCATTGAAAGAAAAAAAACACTGATCATGGGTTGTGATTAAAATCCCTGTAATTCTAAGCCAAAACTATTTGTGTGGACTTCTTTGATAATTACGTGCTTCCATGGGCCTAAGATAAATGTTGCGCTGTCTAAAGCATAAGAAAATATGTTTCAAAAGCCAGTCAAAGCCTATTTTTTTCTGTATGACTTTACTGAACAGCTATGAGTTTGGTATTTTCTTCTATCAGATAAATGAGTCTCTGTCATAAGTGTTACTGTTTTGAAAGTAGGTCTAGGTTTTACTCTTCTGATGTTTCTACTTCAGCATCAGGAGATGTTTGTCTACAATAAGCACCATACTCTCCTGATCCTCTTTTCTCCAAATTGCCACACATACAGGACTTTAAGATCACATAACAGTGGTAGAGTGTGAGGCATCAACAAAAAAGGTTTTGTAGTATTTAGTGGTATGAGATCCAAAGGAACATAGACTATTTGGCAAGTGTATGAGAAGTTATTCAGAAGATTTAAATTGGTGTATTTGGGGGCTACTGCAAAGTCTGGGAATTCTTTGATTGTTAGGATTTAATGTTCACACCAGCTGTGTAATTTGGGGACCACGAGTAGTCAGTAACATGAGTTCCTGTTCTTACTTCTTTTGCTGTGCAGCTCTTTGGAGATGTCTGCTACAACTGCAGCCACGTGATAGAGGGAGATGGTAAGATTTGTTCTCTTCTTGTTTTGGGTTGCTGTCCTTGTTCCATTTGTTAGTGCAGCTGTTGCAGTCCCACAGTTGCAAGGCACCACTGTTTATTTTCACATCTGGTCTCATTTGAATTTGGATACAAATCTGAATTCAAATAATCCAGCAGTTTCCTCTTATTTTGTGTTTTTGCTTTTGCAGTTGTATCAGCTCTTAACAAGGCCTGGTGTGTGAACTGCTTTTCCTGCTCCACCTGCAACATCAAGCTTACACTGAAGTAAGTCAGTGTTTATATTTTGGACCATATAAGATATTTGCCCCTAAGGCAGGATATCAGCTTGGGGGAGCCATAAGCCAGTGCCTTTCTGGGGGGCAATATGTCTTTTCTCTGTGGGAACAGGTGCTTATAATTCCACTGATTTCAGAACTGAAAGAGAGCTGGGACTCAGCATCATCTCTAATTTATTTTCCTTCATTAATGTATTCTGTAAGAAGGTTGGGGAAGAGAAGAACTCATTCAGCAGTACTGAGGGAAGGCTCTAAACTCCAAGTAACTGCCTGTCCTGAAATACCTGCAGCCTCCATGTCTCCTTAGTCTGGATGCTCCCCTCAATGACAGTATTTGCAACTGTGTAAATTATTGTTAAAGAAAATATTATGCTAGTTACCTCAAATATGTAAAAGAGGGACAGAGGGCAAAGCAATCCTACATTTTTCCTTTCTCAGGTTCAAACCCTTATTCAGCTATGCTGGGTTGGCCCCAATGGCCTTGTACATGAAGGAGCTCTAATTAATCACAAAGAGGATCTTGGAAGTGACACTTCCATTCTGCAATAACATTATTATTCTAGACTGTTACATACAAATATATAGCAAAATCTTGCTCTTTATGTAACTAGCAATACTAAAGACCCTAGTTCCCTGATAAGAACCCAATCTCTACTTACATGACCAGACAAGGAAGTAATTTGTTTTATACATGCAGTAGAATACAAACAACAACATTTATGTAGATGCACAGAGACATGATTTAGTGAAGCATATAGTTTGAAAATACCATTTTAATAGCCCGCTGTTCTTTGTGTTAAAGGAATAAGTTTGTGGAGTTTGACATGAAGCCTGTATGCAAGAAGTGCTATGAGAAATTCCCTCTGGAGCTGAAAAAACGCCTGAAGAAGTTGTCAGAGCTGGCATCCAAGAAGGCACATCCCAAAGCTCTGGATTTAAACTCTGCTTAAACAGGTCTGTCAGTCTACTGACTGCACTCTTAGAGTTATAAGCTGCTTGCAGCAGCTGTTGGTTACAGAGGCAATTACTAAGAACAAGTGAAACCAAAGATAAGTATTACCTTCCCCTGCTTTTCATAATGCAGCTTGCATCTTAACTATCCCTTTGCTCAAGCAGTTGTCTATTAACACTGGCAGAAAGAAGAATATTTCTGCTTGAGCAGTTTACAGGCTGGTTATTAATTTGCTAATAACAACTTAATCTGCCTTTGTGGAATTGTGCACGGTCTTTTCTTCCTCAGTTGAACTGTAGTTCTCTCTGCATTCCTCTATAGTCTAAGGAATTTGGAAAACTGTGGTTGAGTGCAGGGGTGGAAGAAATGTGTGATTTACTCTTTTTCAGTTAAAGTATAAAAACTTCTCTTCTTACCCTGGGTGAAGACATTTTTAATTTTTTTAATATGTAGGCAAACATTCTGAAGGCTGTCACTCTTTGCTACATGCAAAATGTTCTGATCTTTCTCCAGAAAGTACAGTCCTTCTGGTTTGCAGGTTTACTGGGAAAGCCAAGGAATCAATAGTTAACAGCATCTGCAGTCCCCACTTGGCCAGCTTAGGTCCGATGTGAAGACAGCTGAAGAAGTTTGTTTTGTTGCTTCCCTGTTCGATACTAAGGAGATTTCAATTGTCAAGGCCATGTCAGCCTCTTCAGAATAGTTGGGCTCTCCTTAAGGAGGAGGTGGCTATGGGAAATGAAAGATTTTGTTAGAAACTGACACTATAATTTTCTCAGTTTGTTCTTTACTACTGCATGGGTACCAGAGCTTCTGGTGGTCAACACAAAACATGTCGTGTCCACTGGCGTAGCTGAGATTTCTTGAGGCAATGTGGCTGGAGCCTTGGTTATTTTGCGTAATGAAATCAAATTGATAATATGGTACCAATTTAAGTGCTTCAATTTCCCTGTCCTCCTCACTTTATTTGAAAGATGAGTATAGTATGTGCTTGTTGGTCACGCTCCAGAAAGCGCAATTACATGAAGGGGTTTCTAATACTTACAGTTTGTAGCAAATGTGGTCTTATGCAGAAAAACCTTGGGAAGTATTTTTCTTAAAATTTTCACCCAAGTAAGAGTTTCCCATCACCTTTCTTCTTAAGACCTGAATGTACTTAAAGAGAGGACCTCAAACATGAATCTGTACATCTTAAGCATATAGGTGTGCTCTGTAGTTTTGCCTATCACTGGTGAGGTTTCACTGGCCCTACTGTCTCTGCTAGTACAACTCAAGGTGCTGAGAAATTTACTGGTTTTGAACATTCTTGGTATTTCTTTGGGGGTGAGCCATCAGTGGTGCTCTTGCTGAGTCCACCTGTGTGTTGTATAATCACGGTGAGCTTTTGAGACCTCTAGAGGTGTCCCCCGTAGTTTGTTGAGCTGAACTAAGCTAAGCGGCCTGAAAATGCCTTTCCGTGAATAGTTGGAGACTGTGCCTTTTGTGAGGTGGACAGGATGAAAGGCACTGGAGGACTGCTGTCACTTGCATGATTTAAGTCTTCCAAAAAGGGGCTAGCTTGATGAGGTAGGTCAGATGAACACAGCAGTTGGGCCTAGGCACCACCCTGCATCCCCAGGTGAATTAGCTAGCAAGAAGTTAAAGCTTCCTCACTTCTTGTATGTGTGAGCAGCAACTGGATTGGGGCAATGGTCTGCCTTAAAATTGTCCTCACTGCCATCACGCTTTGCTCAGAATAGATCTAAACAAAATAATAGCTGAAGCATTGATAGCTGTTAACACGCTTGCTGTAGCTACTACCCATGAAACTGTACCAGTCATATCACAGCAGTGGTAGGAAATCCTGGTCAACTGTGCAGATAAGAATCCCACATGCAAGACTGTCTCTTAGATACTTACTGGCTTTGCTAATTGCATTTCCTTCAGCTGCTTTGCTTTTTGTTGCTCTAAGTTACCACAAACTTAACTGGTGTGTACTGCATCCACTATAACACTGGTGAGGGGATAGGCCTAATTTTAACAGTAGAACTCTTCCATCCTTTTCTGACCAATATGCACTGTAGATTACAGTAATACTAGCTGATTTTGTCACTGCTTTAGGAGAACATGTGGCTAGTCACTGTTCTCTCACCAGCTTTTAAATGGTCTTTTAATTAAGGGCACAAAAAGCAGCATGTCTTTTGGTGCAGTAGTATGTGGCCACTGCAGACTAGTCTTGCAAGCCTATTCTTTGGCACTTTTTTCACAGCGTAAAACAGAAGAACTACTGATCTAGGTGCAGTTCAGTATGTTATGCAAATTCTTCTCAGCATAAAGCATTTGGGTCTGCTCCTGTAATCTTAGTCACAGGCCACGTCTAATGCTAAATCTGAGCAGCTGTGTATCTTCAGCCTCCTGGGAAAATGGTGGAGGAACACACAGCCGCATAGCTACTGGTAAATATGGAAAGACTGTGTAACTAGCCAGCAATAGGTGGTATTCTTTCAGTGGCCACTCTCGAGTTCAGCAATGGAAAATGCATGTGTGTAGGAGTGAATGTAATTACTTTTGTACTGCAAGTAGAGATTCAAAGCGTGCTTTCACTTTGTCTCATATTAGAAATTCAGTAGACCTGGTAAGCTTCAGTCTTCAAAAGACCATTGATATCATCCTCTTTAATAAGCTGTTCAGTTCTCTAGGATTTGGATTATGTCCTTATCTTCAGAGCATTTCCCAAAATTGGGGAGGGGTGGGAATCATCATAGTCCCTGATCTCTGTATTAGTGGAGGGTGATGTTCTCTTAGTATGTCTTAAATAATTGTGAAAAATTAATAATTTTTCTTATAGTCCTGCTGCTCATAGCCTGCAATGTGCAGAATTCAGTAGTGAATATTGCTGACATACCTTTTGTGGGACAGTGGGATTGAAGGACTAGGAGAAATAACTATAAATAGTTTAAATAAATGCATCTTCCTCTACTTCTTTGAGTCCACTTTTAAAAACTATAAAGCAGACTTAGGAATTATCCTTAGTGTGTTGATAGGCTGACAGGTTGGTTTTGGTTTTGGTTTTTAAAATAAAGTCACAGTCTCAGTCAGAATTAAGCTGCATGCTTTTTTCCATTGCTGTAAATAGACATGCTGGCCAAACTCATCCTAGGTATCACACCACTGGAGAGTATAGATTTATATCAAGGTTGAACTTGGCTCAGAAGTCTACACTTACTAAAAGCTGTTGTGTCATTATATACATTTATAGTTTACATTCATATTTATACGTACTGAATTAAAATCACTAATATTCACTGAGTACACTTGAAAACGGTTTTGCTTTTAGAAACCACAGTATGTGAAGCTTGTTTATATTCAAAGGGTATGTTAATCACTTGCAGTCTTTCTTTATGGCAACCTAATCTGCTCTCTAGGGTTTGCATCCTGGTCTTTATTTTTACAGCAGTCTGTGCAATGTAGGCAAATACTGTTCAACCTTCTGTCCAGAGAGTTTCTAGTTGTCACAAGTTTTGTATTAGATGACGTGACTGATGCTTTTTTAAAAAGTGGTTGGATGGTGAAGGAATAGATTGCAGGCAAACTTGTAATAAATACGGTTGTACTAGTCTGTAAAGCACTATTAAGTGCTGAGGATGGTATAGACTGAGTAAAAGAATTAGCAGCTACTTGCCTTGGTTCAGGCCTTGATGAGTAGTATGGATTCTGCACTGTGCAGAGCTCTCGTTTTATCACACATTGCTTGTGCTGTCTAACCAAAACATGTGATTGTGGATTGAAATGTTGTAATACTGTATCTTTTTATGTTCCTGTAATAAAGTTAACTGTAATACCTTTTAAATCTTCACACAAACAAAATGTTAAAAAGTTGTATATTGTACAGTAAAAAAAAAATATTACATTTGCAATGCTGAGCCAGAGAGCATTGCACATTGAGGAACTCTGGGGAATTGCCCAAATCTGATGCACTGTCGTGCTGAGTTCACATTTTGGATCTTTACTGCTTCTATGGTGATGCGTTGGTTGACGAGGATGTGCAGAAAGGGGTAGCATCCTTTTAGAGGCTGTGCTGTACAAGTTGTGTACATGATGTGTTGTGTATATGATGAGTAGATGGGATGCTATGATCCTTTACAGGCTGTAGTGGATGTTTGGTAGGTTTAGGTTACATGGATCTAGAGCAAATATTCTATTTTCTTGTTAAAAAAGACATTGTGGTTGATTTTCTGCAGTGTTTATTTAAAAACCAGACACAATACATTTGGTTGCAAAATTTCTTTTTGTACAGGTGAAGTATGGAATGCTTCTCACTTAATAGCCAGTTAGATCAGGCATAGGACTACAAAACAACTCAAAGTCATTAGTCTCAAATGTTTCCATTGCCAGCAATGGACATTACAGCCGGAATACCTAATTGCATTCAAAAGGATCAACTATTCTGACAAGTGTGGCACTCATTTAGCTGCACAAAGAGTGGGGCTCTTCCCTGCCACCCATGTACAAAACTCCCATTAGCGTTTGAATTTCACACACACGCATTTGAGGGAACAAGAGAACCATTGTGCATACATTGGCAAATTTGAGAGATCTAGCAGAGCTGTTTTTCCAGGACTGCCAGGTCATGTCTCAAGGAACTGGGTGTAAATGCTTTAAGACATGTCCATGTTTCACTGTGAGCAAGGGAGGGCTCGTCATTGACGAAAGAGTTCTTGTTCTCTGATGGGGTAAGCATCTAAGCTTACTACCACCACACTGCATATATCCTTTACGCACTCTGAGCACACTCTGGTTCCTGTAGGACCAAAGTTGTGTGTTTACAAAGGTCTGAGAGATGAACAAGTGCTGAATCAAATTTTAGTACTCAAAGTGTCTGCTAAACAGGAAATAGAAAAGAACAGGAGAAATTAAAGCTATTATTCTTGTCTCATGAACGAATGTCTGCATAATTCCAAGCTGAGAACATTTTTATAGAGCATAAAAGTCTCTTTTCAACAGATGTCTGTTAGACTGAGTTCTTCAATTCTGATTTGCTCTGAATAGCACATCTATAACTTGAAGTAGGAGCAACTGAGTAAAAGTAATGGACCCAAATTCCAAGCTCATTTCAGAGTTTGTTTATGCTTACTAGAATCTGCACAGTAGAAAGCAGTTGGTAGTTTCCATGTGCATTCTAAAATGTGGAAGAAATAAAACTTCAATTTAACGAAGGCAATGGTAAACTAGTGGACAGCCTGCTAACTTAACAGCACACAGGAATGACAGTTATATTCTGACAGTAACTGGCTGTCATAGTCTACTGTAACTTGCAGCATGTAACCTAGGGATAAAAGGATGAAACCCAGCATCTTACCTTTCAAGGTGTCCAGTTATCCTACTACTAAAGGACATTTCTCCACTCTTAGAATTTCCAATAGGAGGAAAAAAAAATAACATTACCTTTGCAAAGACTCAAGGAGTTTATGCATTTGGTAAGAACATGTACAAGGGGACATTTTCTTTCCAAAAGGAGGACAACTGCTAATGTCTGTGTCTCTTTAAGAATGGAGGAGATTTAGAGTGTCAGAAGAGGTTCTTGTATTAGGGTTCCTCCGCCCCCCACCCCCATATTACATTAAAATCCAGCTAAACTTTCTCTAAATCCAAAATCTGAATGGAGTTCTTACACTACGTTGAAGACAGACAAGTGTTACAGATATGTGAAAGCACTTGCTCACTTGAGCTTCTCTTGTGGTAGTATTTCAGCAATACAGTTAATTCAGTGTGTGATCAGAAGACTGATCATCAGGATTAATATTTTTTTAAATGGCATTTCTTCTGGGAGATGAAATTACAGGTAGTTTGGCACAGATATAGGTCATGGGTTCTATTTCCACTCTCAGGCCGGGAGTTTCTTTTGCTTGTTTACAGCATTCATTAGCAGGCGTACATAGGATGTTAATAGGTCATCCATTTTGTAACCCTGTCAGAAAAGAAAAAAGTCCCAAGTCTCTCAAAGAGCTCCAGAAGCGAAAATAACTATCATTTCCTCCCTGTTTTATTTTCTTAGGTACTTCCCTGCATGGACTTCTCCTAAGAGCTGTCACTGTTCGGATAATTATTTATCTCTTCCTCCCTCTGCTCTTCCTCTTGTAGATTTACAAATTTTACAGAGCATAGCTCTACTGTCTCCTTGTCATTCATTCCATAGATTGACATCTTGTACTTAGGAATCCCAAGTTTTTCTGTGAGAGAAGTTAGCCCTTAAGTGTTTTTATGTTATCTTTACAAATTTACCTGTAAATATCAATACAGTGATGCTTGTCTCTGTGGACAATCTGAAACCAATTCTTAAAAAGGTGGTACCACTCGGTGAAAAAGTGTAAAGTCTTACAAGGATGGTGTTGCTGCATAGACGGATCAAACCATGGAAGACAAAAACCCTCTTACGTAGTTTTTTGGGTAAGTGCAGTCTTTTCTTAATGTCTCAGATAGATAGAATTTTGATGTATGGGAAGAACTTGGGAAATTACTATTTTTTCCTTGTCTCTGTGGCTTACATCTTTGCATCAGATGGCATTATATGGCAGTGAACCAGTTCTAAACTGCAGTTTTATAGACATAGCAGTGAATGCTTTTTGTACCTGCACTGGTTTTAACATCTGTTTTGGCACCATTGTTTTGTAGCAATTCTGGATGTAAAGGAAAAATTAGGAGTTTCTTGTGTATAAATTGACAAAACTCTTCTTACCAGAGATGTCTCACATAATATCCGGCTTCCTCGTACCAGGTTCCCTATTGTCATGTGAAAGTATGTGCTCCCACTGCTCCAATTGGAGATTTTATTGAAGGGGTAGACTGTTAAAATATCCTGTAAGGGGAAAACAAACTGAACTATAGAACATTTTTCAAACGAAAATGGGCTGTTAGGTAAGAAAACCTGTAGAGCCAGAGCATTCTTTTTCTTTCCTACTTCATTTATAAACATAGTGGATCAAGGTAGGTCTTGCTCCCAGACTAGTGGTATATTGTATTTTCACCAAGCAGGTGAGGCTTAATCACTGTAATGAGACTTCCTTTCATTATATATTGATCTTTGCCTTAGCATACTGCCATTATATTTACAATAATCTAAAACTTGCTGGATATTTCTTTTCTTATTAAAAGCAAATAGTGATATTCATAAATGCTTTTTCCTGGGAACTTGGAAAGACCAGGCTGTTTGGGTTAGAGAGCTGGTAACCACTGTTATTTGACCTGATCTTTAGACAGCTTGGGTTTCCTGCAAAGCATTTTTCTGAAGCAGGTTCCCTAGTGCACTCTCCACCCATCTGCCTGATCTTATCACTTTGCCCAGGTCCATTGTGATTACCACTTCTTCAGAGATGCTCTACACTGTTTCCTTTCCAGTGTAGAAACTGCAAAGTGATTTGAGGCAATAACATTTTCTTTGGTTTCACACAGAAAATTAATATCCTCTCATGCCATTCAGGGAGAAGGTCCTGTTGCTATCCCTAAATTAGCACAGTCAATTAATTCCTTCCTTAGAGAGACTCTTGAGAGGCAACTGTTACCTTTGTCTTCTGATGTATCAGTGAGACTCCTTGCTTGTTGATTGCAATCAACACAACCTCTGGGAAATTTGGCTCCGAGGTTTGCTATAAACAAGTAACAGAGCAAGATAAGCAGAAAATGAAGGAATGATCCATGTCAGGTGCATAGTGACCTTTAACAGTGTCCAGTGCTGCTTGGCCTCTTTACCAATTAAACACCGGAACATAAAGCTCTTCAATATTGTGTAACTGTTGCTAAGGATGACTTTTTTGGCCACATATTGATGACTTGAGCGACTGCTACATAAAAGCAGAATCAGGTCCGTTATTTCCTAGACTATTGATAATAGACTTAATGGTTGGTTGCAAACCAGTTAAGAGCCTACTGAGGAGAAATTAAAGGTAGCAAGTGGGAAATGATTCCTGGAGGTATCCACTGCAGAGTGAGAGGATTAGTACAGTTCTGTTCTGAGGGAAAAGTTCCCGGAGATATAAGATTTGGCAGCTTTTTGTTGTGGAGAACAATGACAGGACAATTAAATATCTATGTAACTAAAAGCCCCCTACTACAGCTGCTACATAGTTGTAATATTAGGTATTAGAACTGGAACAACAACATAGCCAGTAAATAACAGGCATAGTTCAGAATGGATAAAGAACCCATCTCCCCACTTTCAAGGAACTGAGTTTTCCTCAGTAGATGATGGGAATTCAGCTTTATAAGGTATTCTCACTTACCCTGGTATGGAATTATAGTCCGTGCTTATCCCCCCAGTGCTGGTCTACTACCAAAGCCATTCATACAGGCCTTTAAACCTACCTTCACCTCAAAGAAGGCTGATCCAAACGTTGGCCACCGGTGTATCATTTTCAAGAAGGCAATCTTGGCCTCATCCACAGTTTTTCCTTCATGTTTACTATATGCTGCAGTAATGCTCTGTTTAGAAAAAAGGATGCAATGCCTATTCAGTTGGAGACAGGCAGATTTCCAATGTCCAGCATTAGCACTAAAGACAGCATCAGATAATCACCAAGATCAGTCTTTTGGCCACAGCAACAGAAGCCTGTGAAAATGAAAATAGCCTACCATGCCATGGGGCAGGGTGGAGCCAGAACCTCCCTAGTGTTGCTTCCTAATGAGTTGGATAAAGGAAGTCCAGGAGCCCAATGGAATGGATTTCAGGGCAGAGGGGCAATATGGGATGAAACAAAATTCAGAAAGCCACTGTTCAACACCCAGAGACATGTATCACATTTTCTGCTGAAACATGTAGGGTGAATTTTCCCTCTGTATTTGAAATAGTGTCCTGTGTCTTCCTCAGTGGACTAAGTGATAAGTACCTGCTGAAACTTTCTTGCCTTTTGGTGGATAGAAGAGCCTTTTGCTATAAGTAGCATGTACATAGTGCAAGGTGACTGATTTGCTGGCCAAACTGTGAAATATTTAGAATGCATTTTAATTTTCTGTTTCTCTACAAGATCCCCAAATCCCCAGTCCAATCACTGACTTTCCTATCTCTCTGGGCACTGAAAATAGATTAGTATCTTCAAGAAAGATGCACATCTCAAATCAGTCGTCCAGGCCTGCAGATATCTTTCAGAGCTTTGGTAGAGAGGATGCAAAATCTGGATTGTAAGAGACAAAATGGCAACATCCAATAGCATCTCTCCATAATGCTTTCAAAGACCATCAGATCAAAAACATAGCGTGGCTTGATGTCTTTGTTCTCTCATAAAGCTCTGTGGAAGTAGTATGGTTAATGAAAGCTGATGTTCTTACCTTCTTCCACTCATCTGGTGAGATTGCTCGGAGCAGATTGTCTGGCACCAGCTCCTTCAGGATTTTAGGGATGGTTGCCAGCTGTGTGCGGTCATTGTTGAAGCGCACTTTATAAATCAGCCCTGCGAGCTGGACAGCTTCATCCTTGGAACACTTGTGGTAGCCTCTGAGGTACTTAGGCAACTCCTGGAAGAGAAGAGCTCTGGATTCAGACAGAATGGGCTGAAGCAAACACTGACTTGCCCATTCTAAATCTGTGAGGTCAGGATGTGAGTCTTGCCAAACACAGTCCAAGGACATCCCAAGGATTTTTGACTCCTGGAGGTTCTCTGGATGCTCTTGAAAGGTCTTTTCCAGCCCAAACCATTCTATGATTCTCCATACAATTACACAGCAAGATGAGCACCTCCAGGGAACATTTAGATAAGGGAGCTCCTAACATAAGCAATATAGCTAAGGTGTGAACACTGCGAGAAATAAATCTGCTCCTGAGGCTGAGCTGTGCCCTCCAGAGGCATTCCTCTGGAGGCTTTATAATGCAGGCCTTGGTGAGGGAGACAGTAATACTCCAGCTGGTTTACTTTCTCAGGAGTATTTCTTGGATCACATTGCCTGCCATTTATATCTATGCTTTAGGCAGCTGGTTACCTGGTGGTAATGAAAAATTGAATCAGCTTTCAGGTCCTTCCCGGGAGTTACATTCAGCCACAGCTTTCTCATGAAGTACACCTCATAAGCCACAGACATAGTAGCCCCTAAGGAAACAACATCTTGTTAGTATTCTCTGTATCACTGTAGAGTTCTGCAGTTTTTAAATGGCTTATGAATTTCTTCAGAAATGTAATTCTGGTTTTAATAGTAACAAACAAGATTACTAACAAAAAAGTACAAAAGGCCATTTTAGATGACTGAGAAGGTGATTAGTTATCTGTTCCTGGACACTGATCATTCAGCGATCTAAGGTGCAGGCTCTTCGGAGATGGAGGAAGAAGTTAAGGATGCCTGCAATACAAGTGTGTTTTATTTCTTGGTGCTCCTGACAGCTGCCTGCCAATGTGCACCTGAACTCTGTTACACTGATGCAGGTACATTCCCTGATGGCTGTGTTTACAGAAATTAATTGTGATTTAGTGCACCCACATCTTTATGCTGTGATTTTTCAGAGCTCCTAGCAGCTGCATCAGCTGCAGGGAAAAGAGGGAATTTAGAAGGTCTTAGATATGTAGATAGTACTTCAGGAAGTTGAACCTCAGCTGTCCTGAAATAAGCAGAGGTCAGGATAAATGAGTATGAAATTTGAGTAGAGTTTTGAGTTTCATGTAGATTTCAAAATGTATGTTATACATGGGAGTGAAGTGCAAAGAGTTGCTGTCATTAGTGTTACACTGTTTTATTCTAACAAGCATTCCCCTGGCAATACAACTTGTGCTCTGGTATCACCAGGTAATAATCTAGAGAACGATTTTCTAACAACCCAAGGAATGGGAGTGATGCTGTGTAAAGAGCCTAGTTACATGTGTTGGCTGATACCTGATCTGGCAATGCATGAGCCTTGGACTGTAAAGAGGATCAACCTATCTAACTTGTGTGCATCCAGATGTGTGTTTTGGATGCAATAGGCCAAAAAATCTTTGGTACCAATTTAAAATTTCTGGAGAGATCCCCCCACAAAGATGTTCCGGTGTTTCTGATAGCAAGTGCTTTGCGCATCAGGTCACTGGATCTTACTGCTGGTGCAGGCGGTAACCATGTATGTACAAACAAAAATGATATAGTAAGGCTCTGCCACACACTTCCCAAGATGGACTAAATCCTACTGGATAAATTTGCTGCTTCCCCAGTTCAACACAGCATCTCATCCAGCTTTTTGTCATGCTGACATTCTTACCATCTTTCACTGGTTTGTTCCTCCTGTTCCAGTCTGTCACCTGCCTTAGTGAGTCAAAGAAGTAGTCTGCTTCATTCTGACTGATCACCTGGAAGAGGCCAAGCAATGAAGCGGGGAAAGGAGGAATTAGCTGATCATATAAAATACTGCCTGTGCCAACATACCCAAGTATCAGGGTGAATTTTCTTTCCCTGTCTACAGTGAGAGAGCACAATTAGGGCAGGAAAGACAGAGACAAGGGGAAAGAAGTAGAGAAATAGGAGGAGGAAGGCTCAAATGTTTTACATTTCATATGAGGATTTTTATTGCATCTTCTGTTGCTTTTTTCTTTCCAACCTGCTTATTGAAGTCAAGCTGAAGATGCCTACCTTATTCTTAGCCATCACCTCTTTGTAAAATATTGGCACATACAGGATTCTTCTTTTCAGGACCACAGCACATCAGAAACTCCCTGTGCTTGGACTCAGTGATGCTTTTGCCTTGATGACAGTTCCAGAGAGAAGGGACTTCTCAGCAAGGCAGCCAACCCAAGCTTCAGATCAGGCAAGGCACGCTTCTGAGAAACTAGAAAGCACTGAACTGGTGCTGGTCAGCCACTGCTCTCCCTAACACTAGTGCGTACCATACATGTGCAGCACATCTCCTGGCCAAAGCCTTGAGTGGAAAAAGGCTGAATCCAGCAGTGTGCAACATGCAATTTGCTGCCATCCCAGCAGCTGCAAGAAAGCCCACATCTTCTCTGCTTTTAGTACCGCCTGTGTACCGGTAGACTGATAGAAACTCTGCATCTCCATCCAGCCCCTTTCAAGAGACTCAAAATAATTGTCAGGTGCTATAAGTTCAAGTCCAGGTTATATCCCCTCAGTAAGACAGAAGCCGTTAATGACCTGCTCTTTTGCTTGGCTTCATGTATGGTTGTTTAGGTGGTCTGGTAAATAAATAAGAGAGGAGAGGGGAGTCTGGCTACCCTGCCATAGTCGAGAAGAGTTACCTTGTCTGCAATCTTCACAAAGAGGCTGAAACCCTCCCAGGAGCTGAGCTGCAATTTGGAAGCGATGTTCTGACACAGAGTCCGGATTTTGGTGTTCGTTCCCACATGAAATGTCTATGAGATAACAAGACTCTTGTTACACAGAGCAGAGGAAGAAATGAGAACACTGAATGTCTTGAAACATGCTCCTGCATGAACACATCAAGGCTGGGAAAACAAGTAAGTTCTCACCTGTTCTGTTTCATTGGGGAAGTAAATCTTGTGTGAGATCTTAGTGTTGTTCTGTAAGATGGCCTCAACCTCCACAGGATGAGGTGCCCACTTCCTGGAGCCACTCCTGGAAAATGCCACCACCATCATAAGAGAGATCAGTGCTGGATGTTTAATCTTTAAGGGGCTGAATGACAGTATTCCATCTGAACAACAGATTCCATGCAAAATGCTAGTACTGTGCGATAGGACAGGCTGCAATGGACATTCACCCCATAGCAAATTCAGCGAGAAACTGAGGGTCTCATTAGCATGTACATTGAAAGTCTGTTCTACTCTGCAAGGAGGTTGCAGGAATAAGGTACCTTCCTAGCCAGTACCATTACCCCTTCTATGTATTCTGCAACATTTTTCCTTACTGTTACCGAAGTGTGAATATAGTGGCCACAAGGAGAAATATATTTTATTTTAATTCTTGCATCAGCAAAAAGATATGCGTTCAGATGCAAAATGAGTTACAGCTCAGGAGGCAAGTACCAGAAAAGTTTGGAGGGCCGCTAAAAGCATTACATTTTATATAAGAGTTGGCATGTAATCACTGACTCAAGACGCGCTTAAGCTGTGCAATCCCGGTTTTTTGAAATTGCACCTCAGAGCAGGGCTGCCTTTTAAAGCAAAGGAAATGGCCCTGAAGTCTGAGTCATGCAAAAAACTTGATACAGTTAAAGTGAGGACAAATCTAGCACATTACCTTCTGGGGCTGGTATATTCCTGCCCTCAGTGGCACAGAGCAGGCTGTTTGGAGACTTTGTACACCGTAGCTTATGGGCCAAACTCCTCTCTCACACTAGGCCAATCTCTCAGGAAGAGAGCTTAGTCTGGCATCCAGCTTTGGTTTTGTGGATTGGAAAACTATTTTTTTTCATTAAATAAATGGAATAAATAAATTAAAGCAGTTCCACTTGGTGAAGGAAAACCTGACTGTAACCAAGTTGAACAGCATGTGCTTTTCTGCTGTGCAGGCACTGTAAGGAGTGTGGACCTGTCCTACTCGGTCATCTCTTCCTGGGCTTGCAGCAGAGGGAGGCCATAGGAGACCAAGGAAGTGCAGCAGCTTGGCTGGAGGCACAGGGACATCTCTCCTTGCAGCCTCAGCTAGGAATTCGTTGCCAAGGCAAGATCTGCTTAACACCCATCTGGGTGCTCACTGGTTCCCTGGCCAAGAGTCTGGGGATGAAGCTGTGAAGCTGTTTATGGAGGAAAAGGTGTACCCAAGGGCTCAGTTGGCTTCCGCTCCAGGCCTGGGCCTCTTCTCCCAGGCAACTAGTGATGGGACAAGAGGGCATAGTCTGAAACTGCACCAGGGGAAGTTCAGGCTAGAAATGAGGAGGCATTTCTTCCCAGAAAGGGTCGTTAGGCATTGGAATGGGCTGTCCAGGGAGGTGGTGGAGTCCCCATCCCTGGAGGTGTTTACTGGATGTGGCACTTAGTGCCATGGTCTAGCTGACATGATGGTGTTAGGACAAAGGTTGGACTCGATGATCCCAGAGGTCTCTTCCAACCAAATCGATTCTGTGATTCTGTATTGTAGGTCAGTCCTTTGAGCTGCCTGTTCTCCCCTTTCCAAAGAAAGCGGGTTACTTACAGGGAGAAGTTGGACTAGATGATCGTTGTAGGTCCCTTCTGACCGAAATATTCTCTTCTATTCTATTAAGAGCAGGTGCAGGTTTAATCTTAGGAAAAGAAATGCTCATACCAAACATTTGTCTTTGTTCCTTTTCCCATCCCCCAGGCTCCAGATCTAGGGCAGTTTAGCAGATAGAATTCTCCTCCCAAACAGCTCGTTCTGCTTTTCTGTCCCTGTTACCCTGCTCTAAAGAAGTTCTATACAGCTCTGCAGGGCTTAGAGCATGAATAGCACATAATATAGAGAGGCAGGAAATTTTCAGTCTTCTCTGTAGAAAAAAATGAATAGCATTCCTCGCCATGCATTTTTCAGGCACTTCAGATGCAAGTTCAGTGTGCAGTGACATTTCCCTAGCACTGCCAAAACCCATCCACTGCATGGGAGGCAGCCACTGTGTTAGCATTCCCCATGAGCCTGACTCACAGGGCTCACAGATCAAATGCAGGGCCCAGCCTAAGAGAAAGGGGAGGATGGAGGAGCTGGAGCAAGAAATCATTGGGCAGCTTCTTTACTGAAGAGGTCTGTGGCAGGCAGGTGGTAACTTACAGCAGCATCAAAAGGGAGAAGGCTGTGGTTAACCTTGATGCCAAAGCACTGTTCTCAGAATGTCAAGGTGAGTAATTCTAGTGCCTGGAGTAATCTAGGGAAACCTTCCCCCTACAGTTCAGTTGCTCCTTCCTGTAATCCTGGTAGCCCTTCCCTTCTCTCTGGTTGTGTCATGTTCATTATACCAACAAGTAATTCAGAAGCTCAGGAAGCACTGTGGTGGTTTGGAGGCCTTGTTGCTTCAACCCTCACCAGGATTGGAGTAATGCCTAGCAGACTGAGAAGTGCCTTGCTGTGAGCAGCCATGTAAGTGTCAGGGCTTTGCTCATTTGGCTTTCTTCAAATAATAGGAATTGATTGTGTTGATCGGCTCTTCCCAGCGTGGATCTGCTTTCCTTCACCATCAGAAAACCAACAGAGCCACATTAGCACTCTGCAGATGTCAGTGACTTTAGTGGTACCACCCCACTATGAGTAAAACCTGGTATTTTTAGCTGCACATGTGCAGCTCTGTGCTACTGAGATTCAACAAACTCAAGACATGTAAGAGGGACAAGGACATGCTGCCTCACCAAAGGAAAGCAAGGTCAGGACCTCATCAATGACAATGCAGGCTTTCATTTCAAGCTGCATGCCCTTTAGGATGTTTGAAATACCCATCTCTGGGAGTCAAACGAGTATGTGTTATGTTAAGTGATTAACTTAATTAACTCTGGGATTTAAGTGATTATGAACTTTTTAAAATGTTGCTAACTGTGAAAGAAAAAAGTGAAACTCTGACACAGATCTCTCTTAGCGGTTCAAAGTCTGTTATAGAATTAAAAATAATGATCACTAAAAAAAAAGGATGTAAAGAGAGAAAGGAAACTAAGAGTCTCGATATTTTAGCCCATATGCTTTTTGGTGCCTGATTCATTATTTTTGAACACTTTGAGCTGGCTGTATGCCAGATCATTTACCTCATCACTGTCTGAATCCTCCGACTGCACTCCAGGGCCAGTGTTTCTTTCTGACGTGTCTCCATGAACTTCTGGGCATGTTTCAGCAGTGACTTGCTGGGTGGAAACAGGCCAGTGCAGAGCCAAAGGAGCTGCCAACCCCTGGTCACGCTGTACCTGTGAACACAAAGCAAACGGTTCTGCTATAGCCACATATAATTCCTTGTCTGACCACACACCAGCTACAGGGAAAAGAAACACACTCCCATTATGGTATGTTGTGCCATTCAGCAGAGAGCTGCAAATCAACAGAGCCTTCACATAGGAACTGGCAGCCGTTTTCTGTGCAACAACCACAGCCCATATGTGAAGACAATGCTAAATCCTGGCTGATAAATATTCATGACAGTTGCAAATCTCATGAATAAAATATAAGTTCTAGTTTAACAGTCATCTTGGCAGCAGTGACCCTGATGCCATCCTCTTGGAAAGCCACTGTCAGTTTGCTGTTCAAGCTCACATGTATTTGGATTGTGCTTTAGCAGCTGTTTGTATTCACCTGCCCTCTGTGCTAGCCAGCTTTGTTCAGGGCACAAGCACTTTGCATGCAATTGGCTTTCCCTTCCACGTGCTCCTGCTCTGAAAAATGAGCATGTAGATGGCATTGTGTAATGAGGTAGTTACAGTTCTTAAACACTCCAGATGAAATTTGTACAATTTTTAGGCGGAAAGCCAGTTCTTCCAGCCTCTGGACCTGCAAAATCTGCCAGTAGAAGCTCTTTTGGCATCTCAGCCTCACCACAAGACTCTCCAGCGAGGAGGTGATCAGTCATTCTACCTTCAAAGCCAGGAGCAGAACACACTTCAGGGAGTGAACTGAAACGCTAAATGGTGTGAAGTGGTTTTGGTTGGGAAAGTCAGCAGGTCTGCCTCTGAATGAGCATGAGACTTTCCTGAATAACGAGGTCCTGGCTTTATTCCCATTTACTTTTCTAATTTTGCAGATGAAGACACACTATTTTAATCCCATTTATACTGTATAGATCAGTGGTGTTTGTGTCTATGTGAGAGCAGGGCATGGTCCACAGCGCAGTACCCTGGGAAGAATGAAAGATTTGTTGCTCTGGCTGTTCTAATGAAAATATATGGAAATAGCCATCTTTCAAGCACTGTTTTTTTCCACATCAGTGATTCCTCTCAAAACAGTGAATGACCCACAGGACTAAATTGGTAGAGTGCATGAGGCATGGCACTGGCACCATGGTTACGGACTATGTGTTAAATAGCCTGTAAGATTTACTGCATGCAAGGAAATTTAGCATTTAATAGTTACACACATGGTAAAAGTTCCACTAAGTTTAATATTTATGGAAGAGTAAGAAAGAAAATAAACAAATAGGAGATCTTTCTTTAACTTTTGCAGTGACACAATGCAACTAGAAACAGACAAACAGTTTTGTTAATAATTTGTAGTATTTTAAGTTTCTTTTTGCAATTCAGTTCCCCTGGAAGTAGGTAAAATTATCATTTTATGAGTGGTGAAAACACCAGCCTGTTTCCAAGTCTTAGGTATGGGCAGGGGCCCATGTAACCAATCTGTTCTGTAAGGCAGTTGTGTAACCTAATTAATATAACTACACAAAATTATTCGCTGGTGGTAAAAGATCTAGTGTGAATTATGTACTTATAGAAGGGAAATACTGTCATTGGGAAACTTAAAACAAACGGAGGGCTGGCAAGCCAGTCACTGAAAGCATGCAAGAACTCTATGCAATGCCGTATTTTCTCCACAGACTGCCTTGGGAGTAAGAGGGCTTCAGTAACACCTTGCCCGCCTCACACTGTGCTGCACAGAGATGAGCACTGAATGCTGATGGGGACAAAGCAGCAGCTCAAAGGAGTTGAGTAATGGTCCTGCTCTGTGGCCTCTCACTGACAGTCAGTGGTCCTGAGTGCTCCACAAAGGTGAGCCCCACAACACTGCCTGGAAAAAGGGGGAAGGGAAGGTCTCACTCCAACATTTGGCCCTTTGCCCCCACCCCATCACAAGTGTAGCAGGGGTTCCTGGTCACCACCTGCACTTCAGCCCTGGCTCTGCAGAAGCAGGGTGTTTGCACCCAGGTAAGTACCTGTTTCTGTTCTCAGTCAGTTGCTTCATAATCTGACAGTAAATCTCATCCCGCAGGACCTCCTCCTGGATAGCTGCTACAAATATCTGGTCAGTGACTTCCACAGAGGAGTATGCCTGTTTTGAGGGATAGTCTCCCATGAATTTCATGATAGGTGAATGTGCTGTTAAGGACAAAAGCAGGCTAATTTTGGAAGGTAAGTGGGAAGTCTCGCCTGGATCCTAACATGTTAGTGACTCTGTTGATGTCCAAGTGGCAAATACTGGGAGGAAGGTATGGAACATATTCCTTGACTGTCTCCTACCCCCTTTCCCTGTGCAGCAGTCACTGCATGGCTGTGATTTGGAATATATTAGCTGAGCACGTGCAGTAAATCTCACTTACTCTTAAAGCCACATTCTCCGTTAAGTGAGCCATCAGGAGTTGTGGAGCTTTGGGAGGGAATAGGAACCTTTCCTCTGTAGACAAGGCAAACAGAGTTGATACCCCCCGCTGTGATGTAAATGTGTCCCCTGTAATGTGGATGTGATATTATCTCAAAGGAGTTGAGTTTAGTCGAGGTAGCTAGCTCTTCCTTTCCCTGAGTATTCTCAGGTCCCAAAGAGAAAAGTGAAAGGATATCAATGAAGGCCTGACAAGCCAAATCCCGAAGATCAGGGTCTGTGCATGCTGTCTTCAGCAAGGGCAGTTTCAGGGGCTCCTTAGAGTGTGCCCACAGTTGACTGCGCCTGCGAGATTTCTGGAGAACAGCTTTGCTGATGGATTCCTTCTCAGGAGTCCTGAATGAAGACAAGTGCAGGCAATACAAAATTACTGGATCAGTATTGCTATGAACACAGGAGGTCAGTATCACAAAGACTTATCTCTAAGTGTGTTCTTTCCCAAGGCAGTGATCTCATATCTCCTTTGATTATGCAGGTCAACAAGAACAGGAAAATGTAGTTTCTTGTAGATCTGGAAGGGAGAAGGCTTGCAAAAAGAAGAGAGGTTTTAGAAGACTAATTTTTCCCTTAGTCTCCAAGGCCTGAGATGTTGTGTATCCTCACCAGCTGGTAAGTGCTGAAGAAGGGAGGAGAAGTAAGAATAGGGCCTGCTGGAAAGAAATAAGTCCAGCTGGGGTTCTTCTGCCCTTCCCTTTGCATTTCTGCAGACAAAAGATACAAGTAGGCCATCTGCCAGAATCTCTACACGTCCAAAGTCACACTTAATTACAGGGAACAAGGAGAAGAAACTCAATCAGAAATGGGAGATGCCATTACATCCTAGGCTTTAAGGATCACTGAAGAATAACAAGAACTCTCCCAGGGAGTACACTACACAGAAGGCTTCACCTGAAGTGTTCATAGGAGAACTCCTCCAGAGTGTAAGGCTTCACTTTGAGATCCTCTTCATCAGGTTCATCCATGTAGGAGTTCTGTGAAGCTGTCCTCCTCTGGTCTGGAGACATCATCAGCAAACTCTGGAGTGACACAGCCACATAGAGATGTCATATGGACACAGTCTCTGCACAGATTGTCAGGTGTTACTCAGCATATATGCGCAGATGGTGTATACTAAACTTGAGTACTCTGTGGTGCAGGAGACCTTCTGTCCCCTAAGCAGCATCTTCAGAGACTCAAGAAAGACTTGGGAATAGTGGACTCGAGGAAGTAATTTCCATAGATCCAACAGCAGTGGCCATCAAAATGTATGTGATTATCTGAAGCACAAACACTTGTAAAAAAATGCACCTGCTTATCACTAGTGTATTTTTCCCCAACTTTTTCACCTTTTTACTTGTTAGCACAGTATCCAATACACTGCATCTCCAAAACTGAAGACAAAATTGTTAGCGAACAGTGATCACCGGGAAACTTTGACTCCCGCAAAGACCATATTCTTTTAAAGTAACCAGCTGCACTTAGAGCTTCGCTTGAGATATAATGTATGATCACCAGTCAAACCCAGTGTGACTGCAGGAAAATTCGACTGCACACCCATTTTCATTAATTGCTACCAGTTCCAGACACTGAAATCCCTAATGGTGAACGGACCGTTTTTTTTTTAAGACATTGCTTTTGTGTAACTGCAGTCTTCTCCTTAGAGTTTGGGCTAGGGTTAGTTTTGTTTTCAGACAGGAACTAATGAAATGCTTTGCTTCAGTGGGAGGTATAGAATTTGTCTGACTTAGGAGGAACAATTAACTTCCAGTTATAAATTTAATCATATTTAGCACTGTTATTATCATTTATCTTCCAGTCTCTTCAAAGAGAGTGCTCAGTTTTTCTTACCAGCACTTGACTAGACGGTTTTGTGAGAGAAGGAATGATGTAGATCTCTTCCAAAAATACATTCCCTGTTTTGCCTGTCCTCTCGTTCTGGGCACAGATCCACCCAGAGTTTGCATCCAGCCTTTTGTCTTCAGTGAAGATTAGCAAGTCTCCCTTCTTGAAGGACAGGATGGCAGGGTCTTCTGGAAAACAGAATAAGGGAGTACTGTTCAGCTTTGACAGTCCAAGAAAATGCAAAGGGATTGCAATGTGAAAGACAAGGGAATTGTATTTTGAAGGCCTGAACTCAATTAGCAATAGAAAGTGATTTGTGTAAATACAGCTCATTATCCAGTACCAGTTCCTAGAAATCACTTAAATTTCCTGCAGCAGCCTGATTTTGATCCACTGAGAGCAATGGCAAAACTCCATTTGATTCAAATGGATGCTGACTTTGTGTCTAGAACTGGCAGCAAAACACAGAAAGAAACTCCATAGTTGTAAGTAGGTGAAGTTAATGTTTACATTAACTTAAATGTTTACATTTAATCCTCTTGTCTGTTCCAGCCAATTGTATTTCACAGAAAATTGCAGTTTACCACCTCTGTGAAGTTTTTCTGGAAAGTATTTCCAGGGAGCCCAGATCCAACTTCCTACTATAAGCAGGTTGAGTTGTTGGACACTGTACTATCTAAATAAAGTATGCAAAGAAGTAGAAGGAGAAAGGAAAGGTAATTTGTATGCAAAGGTATTGAATCACATTGCCTTATGCTCTGTATTGCTGTGCTGATCACTATGCAAACGGACTCTTGCAGTTCTCTCTCTTCTCTTTGAGCTCTTTCAGGCAAGTGCTATGGGTTCCCTCAAGATTTCTTCCCTGTAGAAAAGTTAGAGGACTTACCTTGGGATTTTTTCTCATGCATTGCCACAGCGAATCGTGATCTCTTCTTCAGTCCTTCCAGGAACATGACCACCAGTTCGGCAATGACAACGCTATTTACAGATGTCAGGACAAACTCCTCGGCACGAAGTGTGATGAGAGTGCAACTCTGTCCAAATGACTTCACTGCCCTATGTATTATTGAACAGTTTGTTACCAGAGCATCTGAAAAATGTACAGATCCATCTGTAGTCACAGCCAAGGCACAAACAACTCCCTTACAGTGAGTATTGGTAGTTCTTAATTTGCCTTCTCCTGAGTTGGTAGGTGTGAAGGACTGAAGTGGTTCAGGTTCACTCTGAACTCCACCAAATTTAGTACAGAAGTGCTTTGTATAGACAAAAGAACACTCTTATTTTGGAGTAACTGGGCAACTAATTAAATCTATGACAGTCCTCACAGAGGTGTTTTTTGTGTATGTAAGACTCTGTTCTCTGAGTGATCTGATGCAAGGATGTGTGCCCTGAGCAAGCCAATGGTTACCCTCTTTCCC